CACACACACACACACACACACACACACACACACACACACACAAACTAGCTGGGCATGGTGGCATGCATCTGTAGTTCCAGCTCCTTGGAAGACTGAGGTGGAAGGATCACCTAAGCCTAGCAGGTGGAAGCTGGGGTGGCCGTGAGCGTGCTACTCCAACCTGGGTGACAGGAGTGAGACTCCAACTCAAAAAAAAAAAAAAAAGAAAAGAAATAAAGATATACCACAAATTCATGTTTATCTTAAGAATCAGGCCGGGCACGGTGGCTCATGCCTATAATCCCAGCACTTTGGGAGGCTGAGGTGAGAGGACTGCCTGAGCTCATGGGTTCGAGACCAGCCTGGGCAACTTGGCGAGACCTCAGCTCTACACTAAATCTACACTTAGCCAGGCATGGTGGCACATGCCTGTAGTTCCAGCTACTTGAAAGGCTGAGGCGGAAGGATTGCCTGAGCCCAGCAGGTCAGGGCTATGGTGGCCGAGAACGTGCCACAGCCCTCCAGCCTGGGAGACAGAGTAAGACTCCAACTCAAAAAAAGAATCAGAAAAATCCATGTTAGCACAGGGAAATGAACAACTTAAGGTAATGTCAAGTATAGGAAGAACATGGCTAGGACTGCAGTGTGGCTTCTTGGCTCTTCTCTGTGCATGTGAGCACATTCAGGCTGGTCCTTTAGTTGCCCAGCGAGCATCACTTGCACCAGACACACAGTTTCTTCATCAAAGTCAGTCCTTGGGCTTCTGCCTGCAGTGTCCACAGTTCGCCCAGGCAGAGTTAAGGGCACCTGCTTCTGAGTCCCCAGTTTTCTTGGACTGTACCCCATGGTGTGCAGCTTACTATCTAATAAATAGCCTGTTCTCCCAGGAAGCAATCCCTGGGTCATGGTCTGAGCTGACTACCAGGGCGAAAATTCTCTCCCGTGGCCACAGTCGAGCCCGGCACACACTGGAGATGCCACACAAAGGACCCCGTGCCTGCCCTGTCCCCTAAGCTGCGAGCCCCAGCGGCCGAACTGGGTTATGTTTCTTTTGAGATCCTCAGCACCGACTGGAGGCTGACACAGCAGGTTTTCATTAATGAGCACTGCGGACTGAAAAGGGGACTGATGGACCTACAGAAAGGCCTGAGTAAGGGCATGAGGCTTGGCCTCGCCAATAAATACAGAAAAGCCCCCCCTCGGTGTGAGCATTTGGAAAGGCTTGGTTCAAATGACCCCTAAGAACATGCCAGGGACCACGTCCCCCAGAAGCTTCTTTTGTAACTCGTGCACACTAACATGCCTTTTCTTTCCCCACGGAAGAAACATCGCCAAGGTGGTGAGCCAGGTGCACGCCTTCCAGGAGAACCCCTACACGTTCAGTCCTGACCCCAAGCTGCAGTCATACCTCAAGCAGAGGATCGCCCGCTTCAGTGGTGTCGACATTTCCACGCTGGCAGCAGACAACAGGGCCAATCTCCACCAGGTCTCTAGCGAGAAGCACTCCCGGAAGATCCAGGACAAGCTGCGCAGGATGAAGGCCACATTCCAGTAGCCGAGCTGTGTGGAGCGCTCCAGACCGGACCCGACGGCAGGGCAGCTGGCCGTGGGAGGAGCTGCGCCTTGGCAGAGCAGCTCTGCTCAGCTAGGCACCCCGGGGGGCTCGCATCAGGCGGTGAGGTGGGGGCTCACCCAGGCCATTCCATGGGGAGAGGCAGAGCCAGGACGGGCACAGAGATCTTGGAGACTTGTGTTTTGCTAGAATCAGAAAGTTAAATTTAAAAATGAAAATAGGTAAGTGAACTTCCCAAGAGTTTTGTGCCTGTCTCTCTCTCCAATGACGTCCCCCAAACCCCACCCTCCCCTCCCCCAACGCAACAGACTTCGGCGTAGCTGCTACCTGAGCAGCGAGCCAGCCTAGTCTGCTGGGCAGTGAGGGACCAAAGCTGACCTTCGAGCCATGCAACTGCAGCCCCGTAGCCCCCGCCTCCCTCCCACTGCCCGGTTCCCCTCAGCTCAGACCCCCCAGGTGCCCTCGGCCTCCTGCCGGTGTGAGCACCTTGGGCTGGGAGCCCCCCTTCGGCTCGCACTCCCCCCCACTTGGCATAACTCTTGGGGGGCAGGCACAAGGGCAAAGGCTCTGCTTCCTGGAAAGGAGTCAGACACTCATAGCAGCCCCGTGGCCGAGGTGCCACCACAGTGAGACCCCAGGGCATGCCCACTGTCTCGTGGTCAGGACTGCAGGGCTGCCACTGCTGCCCGGGCACCTGCAGCAGCCATGCATGTGCACACCCGTGCCCACTGTGCACCCACGGCTCAGCACTGTCACCTGCGCTTTGCCAGACAGACGAAGACAGGAGTCTGCTGCCTCGACGGCATCCAGCCCTCCCAGGTTCACGGTCTTTTAGTGAGAGGAGGAAGCCGCCCTGGCCAGGGGTGTGGGAGCAAAACAGAGAGCAGCCAGTCTCGGGGAGACCCGCCTGGTCAGGGCCCCACGCCAGCCCTCACAGCAAGGCAGCCAGGGTCCCCAGCACCGTCGCAGGCATGGTGGTTCTCACTGTGCAAATCACCTCAAGGCCCAGGATTGTTCTTTTGAGTTTTAGAATTAGCGATTCTTTAGAGCAACCAGCTAGCAGTATTTCTAGGAAAACTGTTCCTTGTGACAAAACGCTGAATTTTTAATGTCAAGATGTGTTTTCCCACACAAATTTCACTGGAGACATCCAGGCCCTGCTTAGACGTAAAACAAGAGGTGCACTTCCATCCAGGCTTTTCTAGAGAATTATGTTCTGCTGCTGACTTTCCCATTTCCAGGTTTTATACTTAACACAGACAGCGCCCGCACACGCCAACATTCCAATTGTAACAACCTGTTCCACGGGGAGGTGACCGGGCTCTGGCTTCAGCACGACATCTGCATGTCTCCCTCATGTCTCATGGTACCGATTTCTAAATAAAGTCATTTCTAGCAAGCCACTTTCGCGTGGCTCACTCTGTGGCTTCCCCTAATGCATCTGGTTAAGCTGGAGGTTAAGCTGGTTCCTTGAAGGCCACGTTACGGTGCTCACGGAGACGCCAGCCACGAGATGTGTGCAGCCCAGGACTGAACACTGACCTGCCTTGCCTGGTCCGCAAAGACGTGGTTGGACACACTCGTACCCCTGAAGGGACAAAGACAAGGCTCAAGTCTGACAGCTTGAATCTAATTCTGGACCCACCAGGAAAAGAGAAGCCCCCAAAACTCTTGAGTCGTGTGAACAAGCAAATCCAGGGAACACCTGCTTCTGGTGAAGATGACAAGCCGCCTAACACAGTCTCCCCGTGACCACACCACCACCAACCCAAGGCCACTCTCAGGCAAGTTTGCCATCAACTCTGCCCACCCCTAGCCAGCTCCTGCCTGGCAGCTGACATCACCGAAGGCCGGTGGGCAGGGCGCCCGGTCCCACACTCACCATGGTGCAACCTTGCCCGAGTTCTAGCCACATCTGAAAGGGAAGCAAGACAGGAAAACCCCTGCACGAGGGGGTTTGGTGACCGCTGGGAAAAGGCCTTGATGTCATAGTTTAGAATTGCTAGACACTGCAAAGGAGGGGTTTCAGGCCAGGACTTCAAAGAATTTGGGGGTGTAAACTGTTGATGCTTTTGTGGAAGGAGCCACGGGGTCTTTTGGGAGGCTCCTGTGCTGGGCGGGGTAGTTACCTGCCTGGCGAGAGACCCAGGAAGTGCACAGCCAGGCTAAGGAAGATGAGACAGCACCGTCCCGCTGATATGAGCAAGAGCTGCTATGGCAGATGGTTTTGGTGTCCAGGTCACGTGTGGGTGGGGGGTGATTTGGGCCCCTGCCCACCTTAAAATCGTTGGAACCTGGTCCTCTGTGCCTCTGCTTCCCCAGTTGAGACACTAGGAAGACGCTGCATAAGGTCTCCCCTCACTGCAGTGGGTCGAACGAACTTAGCTCTGCTGACCAATGGATGTTTCTGGTGGAGAACTGACAGCCAAAGACCCCGTGCTCCCCAGGGAGCCTCACTTCCCGGGTTTTCGCCCCATGCAGTCCTCTCTTGTGCTGGCAGCAACCTGGATGCCCCGTTCCAGGAGCCACCACCACATGGGAAGTTTGGCCTTTCTGAAACCACTGTGCTGGAAGCAAGCCCAGGCAGCCACCTGGTGGGTTGCAGAAAGGTACTGCTGGCCAGCCCCGCCTTAGGGCCCCCAGGAACCAGCACATGCCACGTGGAGCAGGCCTGGATCCCCAAAGACGGCCAGGTCTTAGCCCCAGAAGTAGTATCCACATAAGCTGGCCCCCACATCGCAAGCGAGAGCCACCTTCTCCCACCTGTCATGAGGGACACAGGTGAGTGGAGTGGACCATGATCCTCGTGCAAACTCAGCCACAATGTCACCATGTGGCGATGACTGGCCTCTCGTGAAGATCACTAAGAGGCTATTCGTACAACATCACACTGATGAGTTCCCCTCTGAGACTTGCTCTCCTGTCTGTAAAAGCAGGATGGTATCCACCAGCCCCCAGCAGGACAGAGTTCTGTTGTCGCCAATATTCTTTTTTTTTTTTTTTTTTTTTTTTTTTTTTTTTGAGTTAGAGTCTCACTCCGTCACCCAGACTGGAGTGCAGGGGCATGCTCCCGGCCACCGCAGCCTCAACCTGCCGGGCTCCAGCGATCCTTCCGCCTCAGCCTGCCTTCCAAGTAGCCAGAACTACAGGCGCACACTACCACGCCCAGCTAATTTTTGATTTACTGTAGAGATGAGATCTTGCCAAGTTGACCAGCTGGGTCTCGAACAAGTCGAAGTCGCGCCAAGTTGACCGCGAGCTCAGGCAATCCACTCGCCCCAGCCTCCCAAAGTGCTGGGATTACAGGCGGAGCCACTGAGCCGGGCCTGTCGCCAATATTCTAAGTGCCACAATACCAGTGGGAATTCCCAGTAGCCGCCCCGCTCATCCTGGCCTCTGCACAGCCTGCTTCTGGGAGGCACAGTGGGGGCTGGTGCACAGCTATTTTCTAAGGAACATTCAAGGAAGCAAGCATGCACCCTACCAGCCGTCAAAAGCTGTGGCCTGTGGTGGGTCTGTCCGTTAAAGCCACAACAGCTCCATCCATAAGCATCCCTTTCAACCTACTCCTGCCCACAGCCTGGCTCCCACTAGCCAGTTCTCCATCCCTGTGGCTTTGCCCTCTCCAGAATGTCCTATAAATGGAGTGACATAGCATGTGGATGTGGGGTGTGGCCTCCTTCCCTTAGCAAAATGCACTTCATACTCACCCCTGTTGTTGCCAAGCAGTGTTGAGCAACACGGACACAGCACCGTGCGCGCCTGCCACCTGGCGGGTGGGCTTCTTGCCCTGTCCGATTCTGTAATCATGAGTAAAGTGCTATAAACTCTGTGTGGGGGTTTTTGTGGGGACATAGGTTTTTGGCTCCTTTGGGTAAATACCAAAGGGTGCAAATGCTGGATCCTGTGGTATGACTATGCTTGGTTTTACAAGAAACCACCAGACTGCTGCCCAAAGTGGCCGTGCTGTTCTAAATTCCCACCAGCAATCATGAGCATTCCTGTGGCCCCACATTCTCGCCAGCACTTGGTGGTGTCAGTGTCCTGGACGTGGGCCATTCTGGCAGGTGTATGATGATGTCTCGTGCGGTCTTACTCTGCATTCCTCTAATGATATATAGTGGTGAGCATCTGTTCACATCTTCTTTGGCTAAGGCTGGGTCTTTTCTCCATTTTTTATGGGGTTCTTTGGTACAGAGTGGTAGATACATAATTCTGTGCATCTGTCAGAACCCATGGAGCCTGGATGCTCCTTCGTGGGTTTCAGTTGGGAAAATCCTAGGGAATTATTTGGCTGGGTCCAGCCTGGGCAGATGTCTGCCCCCAGACTGGCCAGTCTGCAACAACCAGGGGCAGGTGATCTAGGACAGCCTTCAATAGGGTCTCACCTTCAAATTCTAGACTCCCTTTCAGAAAAAGAGGTTTTCATGAGCTGAGCAGACACCCGAAGACTTCCAGCACACTTTCATGGATTTACCAAAAAAATCCAAATCACCCCAAAATCCATTTATTTGAGACGCAAGTAACTGTTTTTAAAGATCCTGGAACTGAGCCAGGCTCCGTGGCTCAGCCTGTAATCCCGCTCCTTGGGAGGCTGAGGTGAGTGGATTGGCTGAGCCCGCAGGTCCGAGACCCACCTGGGCAACTTGATGAGACCTCATCTCTACAATAAATCAAAAATTAGCTGGGCATGGTAGCACACGCCTGTAGTTCCGGCTACTCAGAAGGCTGAGGCGGAAGGATCACCGGAGCCCAGCAGGTCGAGGCTGCGGTGGCCGGGAGCGTGCCACTGCACTCCAGTCTGGGCGACAGAGTGAGATTCCAACTCAAAAAAAAAAAAAAAAAAAATCCCAGAACTGTCTACCCCAAAGATGACCTTTCCTGTGAGCAGGATGGAATGATGCAAACTGACAAACAACCCCAAGTGCAACTACAGGTGGGTGACACCACCTCACTGCCAGGAGCAGGGACAGGAGTTAACCTCAGTAGCCGTGGGAAATCAAGGTCAAAGACAGAGAACCGCAGATAAACACTGTATTCTGGATGGCAAAGCTGCTTCTCAGAGGCACTGAGGTTGGAATTCTGAATCTACCTTCCATGCCCACTCAGCACTTTGGGAGGAGAGGGGGGAGACGATTGCCTGAGCCAAGGTGTTCAAGACCAGCCTGGGCAACTTGGTAAGATCTCATCTGTACAATAAGTCAAAACCTTAGCTGAGCATGCCTATAGT